CCGCCGCCGCCGCCACCGCCGCCGCCGCCGCTGCCGCCGCTGCCGCCGCCGCTACTGGCATGCATCACCCCCAGCAGCAGCAGCAGCACCAGCACCATGTCCGACTTTCTCAACAGCAGCACCATCGTCAAGGAAGCGGCGGTTCACCCAGAGGAGGCGACTATGAGGAAGGGCGTGGAGGCCAGTACAGAGCGACGGCGGCGGCTGGAGTGGGGGCGGGAGGGGCGGGAGGTACATCGCCGGAGGAGTACTACGGAAGCATGATGGCCTACGGTATGGCTCATCCGGGGGCACACCACCACCACGGTACGATGACGGGTCAAGACGGTTGTCTAGGATATTCGCGAAACCGTACATAATGCCGTGTTTGCATTTAGCGCTTTTTTATGGAATGCCATGCTGTAGCCGACAAAAGCTGCCGTTTGTCCTTGTGTGATGACAGCATGATGTTGTCGTCTGTGTATTACGGATGGGTTTAACGTTGAGATTATGGTCACCCTGGCATGCTTGCGGCGTTTTGTCCCGGATCGTTGTCGTCCACCGACGTATATAGCAGAGAACAAGGCACAGACTTCGTTTGTGTTTGTGTTTCGGAGGTTGTGACCTTGATGTTACGTGTGACCACGGTCCGGCAATAGTGTGATGACCCCTCACGCGTCGGGGCTTCGGTTTCCCAGCCAGAGGGGCCCAGTAGAGGGGAATGGCGCCTACGAGACTTGGCATTGTTGGTGTTAGTCTCTTGTACGTTGTTTCTTCGTCTCTCGATGACGACTCGACTGCTGTCGTGCTCTGGCGACACGCTGCTGCTGTGTGATTCAGGCCCTCCGCACCACGGAGCGTACCCAGGTCACCACCACCCCCAGCAGCAGCACCTGTTCGCCGGCTTCGCGCCCCCACCCTCCCTGTTCCAGCCCCCCCACATGCAGGTAAACGGCGTGAAGATGTGGATTTTGGCTGGCTCAACGAAGTTTGTGTTTTGCGGGTGTTGCCGTTCTTGAACTGATGATTAGTTTCCGACAACAGAAAGTAAAAAAATTCTAGGGATACTTTCTTGTTAAGTTGAGATGCGCGCCCGCAAGTTCGTGGGGCCGCGACAACGGAACAAGTGCAGTAATGACATAGACGGGCCGGAACGGGTAGGCGGTCGCCGCGGAACTACCGTAGTATATACGAGCAAGTGTACATGTCGGATTTTTTTTTTTCTAGCGACACTCTCCCCGGATATTATCTCAATGGTACGCCTGTGTGGTGCCTCATATGTACCGTAGGAGCAGGGACTACCGCACGTAGCAGCCCTTGCCGCGGCCGGCCGCCATGTCAACAGCGTGGAGTCGGAGCGAGAAAAATCTGCCGTCATGGCGGCTGTAAGCCAAGGGTTTCAAGACAAGGCCTCTTCGGGTCGGGCTGGGGACGGGGGAGGGCCAGAGCAGCGCTTGGTAGCGCCGCAAGAGGGCGGGGGGGAGCTGTCGTGGGCACAGCAGCAGCAGCAGCAGCAGCAACAACAACAGCAACAGCAGCGGTCCTTGTCACCGATGCACGTTTCTCACGACAGCGGGGCTTTGGATGGCGTCAACCCTCAGGTGATTTGTTTGATTTTCTGTCATCCTACGTAGGTTTGAGGGCGAGTTTTCAGATGCTTCGTGTTCTTAAAATTCTCTTTGACGTCTGAATCCTGTTTTTTTATGTACCATTATACAGTAGTAGCTGAAGCTTGTTTTGGTGCAACGCGTCTACATTCTTTTTGGCGAAAGCGTCCATTTCGCGTAAGGCGGGGTATCAGGAACACCGCCAAAAATAACAGCACTCTTTTCTACTCGTACCAGCAGCTGCAATTGGAAATGGCGGGCCAGCCCATTGGCGTAGTGCTCACGCTTATGTATCCTCCATCCCACCTCTTGACCCGCTTACAGCAGCAGCAGCAGCAGCAGCAGCAGCGGCAGCAAGGAAGATGGCGTGAACGTGATGCGAGCGCGAGCGAAAGCGTACGCGGAGGCAGGTCATCACCAGTGGGCCAAGGAGAGGGCGGGTCTCCGAGGTGTGAGAACAAGCCAGGCAGTCATCAACCGCGTTAAGCGACCCACATAGTTCCTCTTGCACCACGGAAGTCAGAGTTGAGGAATCGAAATCGGGCGCAGCTGACCACGACTCGCCCGATGACGTGCCGGAGGGATGACGCACAGAAAGTGATTGCAGGCTCCGATTTGTTTCGTTACACACTTTTGTCTTACCACCACCTTGCCTTGCGACCTCCCCCCTTCCCCTGTTTTGCAGGGAATTCTACCCCTACCACCATCCCAGAGCAGCAACCGCTGCGTGCAACCGCCGCGGCGCCCA